ACCAGGATGAGGATACAGTTAGCGTTTGGTAGGGGAAGGGCATTCTGCTCCCAGATCATTCATTGTGATGCCCTTGATGCTGCTGCAGCATCCCCTGCATTCAAACAAGTTTCCAGTGGCAGAAGGCAAGCTGAGGGGTGGGACAGAATAACAATTTGAGAGCAGAGATGAAGGGTGTTATATTTGGAGTCTGCTGTAACCTGGCCCTGTGCAATTTGGGACCTGCCAAGTCTGACATAGTCTACCAGCCTGCCACAGGCTTCTTTTTTCTGATATCTCCATACAGCTGGAAAATGGAGTGTGTGTGTTAAGACCCCAGCAGGTCCCCCATCCAGTTGGTGGCTGGCATTTGGCTTCATAAATAAAAGGTTGGGCAGGCCTGTATAAACTCTGTATGTTGCTCTAGGCGGTGGGGCATCTCTTATGTTCTCAGTCAGTTTGTGATACATTTCAGATTGTAGTCTCTACAATATGGCAACTTGTAGGCCAAAAGTGCTTGAGAACCACAACTCTCACAAGCTTTGCTGGCTAAGGCTGATGGGAGTTAAAGGCCAAAAATCTGGATTGCCACAGGTTACTCGCTCCTGCTCTAGAGAGAAGGCACAAAGAAGGTACAGATGGATAGATTCAGTGGTTGACTGATGACGAAGATGCCGACAGAGACCAGCAGCCCTTCTGGTGGTCAGCAGAATCTTCCAGGCTGCTGAAAGTTGGTTGTATATTCAGGCTCTTCTCTCTGGGATAAGGGGGCAGGCAAAGGAACTGCTAAGGCACTGTGCAAAGAACAAGAAAGGTAGGTGTTTCATTCGGAAACAAAATGGGGTAATACTACTCATTTGGTTAAAGGGGATCCAGGAGCCTTTGTATACTTGACCTTTCAAAAAATTTTGACAAAGACCATCACCGGAGGCCCCTGGGTAGATGTAGTGATCTTGGGAAACATGATGGGTCCACCTGTAGATTGGCAACTAGTTAAAGAATACGGGAGAGCGGGAATAAATAGACACATTTTGCAATGAAGGATGTCAGCAGTGGAGTTCTGCAAGAATCCTTAATGAGATTGGTCTATTCAATTCATTCAGAACTTATTGGGAGTTAGAACCGAAGAGTGACATGGTCAGATTTGCAGGTGATGCTGAATGATTTACTGTGGTGAAAATCAAACTGGGTGTCAAGGTGGAGATCCAAAATGATTTCTCCAAAATGGGTGAACTGGCAACCAAATAGCAAATGCTGTTAAGAATAAATGCAAAATTGGGCAAATTGTGTGAGAGAGGGAGAGAGTTTATGGGGGAGATCCCATATAGTGATGGGATCTTGGTAGTTGTGAATAACCAGGAAAGAGATCTAGGGGCCATGGGGAAGAGTTCCGTGAAAACATTGGCCCAGTGCTGTGCAAAAGGCACATTCCAGGTTAGGATTGTTAGGAAATCAGCCTGTCAGCATCTTCATGCCTGTGTACAAAACGGCGATGTGCTCATGCATGGAATCCTGTGCATAGATCAGTTTGCCATACTTTTAAAAGCTGTGGAAAAGGTTAAGAAATTGATTGGAAGGCTGGGATAGCTTCCTGCAAGGAAAAGCTACATTGCTTGGATTTTTAGTTAGGGAGGGGTGAGTAAGGGGGGCTGTGATAAGTTCTACAGAATAATACATGCTGTGGGGTGATAAACTGATGCCCCCCCCACCAGATGTTTTTGACTAAACCTCTCATTATCTCTGCCTGTTGGCTGGGCTGGGACTTATTTGAGTTGTGAACAGAAACACACGGAGGGCACCAGCAGAACGCTTGTGGTGGATAGTGAATTATTTCACTCCTCTAACATTAGAATTTTAAAACCAGTGCGGTGTAGTGATTAAGAGCGTGTGACTGGGATTCAGGCAATCTGGGTTCTAGTCTCTGCTCACCCACGGAGCAAACTGGCTGACTTTGGGCAGTCACAAATTCTCAGCCCAACCTACCTCACAGGGTTGTTGTTGGGATAAGATTGAGCAGCAGCAGCAGAATTGTGCAACCCGCTTTGAGTTCATTGGGGAAAGTGGGATATAAGTCAGATAAATAAATTTGCATCATGGAATAGTGGAGATTCAGAACAGGTAACTTAAAGTATTTTTAAATGGTACATTGGTCACTTTTGGAATTCACTGCCATAAAATGAATAAAATGGGAGTCAGTACAGTGAGTGCGGTGCGCAATCCTATAAATGAAAGTCCTCCAAAATGTCCTTTCTGTGACATTCCTGCTTAGCTGTTCTGAATTTGCACTGTAACTGAGAGCCGGTGTGGTGTGGTGGCTAAGGGTGTGGGACTGGAACTCAGGCATTCTGGGTTCTAGTCCCTGCTCAGCCATGGAGCCAGCTGGGTGACTTTGGGCCAGTTGCAGCCTCTCAGCCCAACCTACCCCACAGGGTTGCTGTTGGGGGGATAAGATTGAGAGCAGGAAGAGGAGTATTATGTAAGCCACCCTGAGTTCTCTGTAAGAGATATGGTGGGATATAAATCTAATAAATTTTTAAAAATGTGGTAAAGGCTATTATTTTAGGTTGCTTGAAAAGGATTAGAAAAATTAATGAAGGATAAGGTTACCAGTGGCTGCAAGACATGGTACAATGGTAAACTTGGAAGTATAGGCATTCTTCATAACAGCACCTAAAGCCAAGCAACCAAAGAAAGCCAGTGTGATGTAGTGGTTAGAATGCTAGACTGGGATGCAGGAGATCCAAGTTCACACACCCACTTAGCCATGAAGTTCACAGGATGCCTCTGGGCCAGTCACATATCCTGATTTACCTCACAAAGTGGTTGTTTTTGTTTTTCTTCTGAAGATAAAGTGGAGAAAACCTTGTAAGCTGCCTTGTGTTCTTTGCAAGAGGAAAGAAGGTGGGGTATAAATTTATTTATTAGTTTTATATCCCACCTTTTTTCTAACAAAATCTTTTTTCCTACTCTTGCTTCCGACCACAACAGCCTCTGCCTTATTGGTCCACTGCAGTCCTGAGATGGATTCCCCACTGCCCCCTCCCAAGGGCCCTTGCATTTCCCAGCAACTCCGGCCTGCACTAAGATTTCTATTAAATGAAAACAGTTTTGCAGTGATTCCCCCCTCTTCTTCCATGTATTTTCAAAAGCAAACTGGAGAGACTGACACATCATTTGGAGAAAAGGGATATAGGAAACAGTGATGCATCTGTTGCTAGGGGGCTGAGGGCAGTAGAGATTGAACACTAGAAGCAGCTACTTCCACAGTGCCAGGGAGCCCCTCTGCTGTTTCCATACCAACAATGGTAAAATGGCGATCCCTGGTCCAGGTGACTGGAGAAGCTACAATAAAGTGTGAAAATTTGAGAACAGACTGTGGATTCTTTCTGTGGTTTCAGAAAACTGATCCTACTATGGAGGCACTCTGGAACTGGATCCAGATGTCACGACTGGCCCACAATGGTAAGATCTCACCATGGGTTCCCATGTTGTGTGAACCTGTCCATAGACTGGGTTCTCACAACATGACAAGCACCTTTGCTTGTCATGCACAGTTGCACAGTTACCATGGGTCATAGATATTTGACCATGATCTACCTGACAAACAATCAAGTGGTTTCTGTGCTACCATGGTTTCCATACTCCCTGCTCAGTCTTCCTGCTGTTAGCATGTATCCCAGCAACCACCACACATGACATTCAATCCCAAGCTACGTTTTGTTTGCTTCTTCCTCATTTCTCTGCATATCTGTTATTAGGTAGAGAAGGATAGTAGAGCCTGGATTGCTGGAGTGGCTCTTAGAGTGGTCACTCTTTCCAGGAGAAACTGTGATAATTGCCTATCAGGACCATGGAAACCATGATCCTGGCTTTGGAAAAATAACAAGCTATGGTGATATGGACAAACCACAGAAGGAACTTTCTTATTGTGATTTCTAAAGATCAAACTTACTATGCTGAAATATTATGACAGGGTTCATTCAACATGACAGACCAACAGTTGCAAAAACCTAACATGGCTCGTCATGTTGTCTGAACACAGTCATTGAGTGGTGAAAGGACAATGTAGTAAATAGCATGTTGAGTTTTAACTGATGAGATCGGAGATTGTCATCTTCATTCCCTTTCTTATGCAATGTGTCCAGCACTGCGTACAACCACTGGTACAAGGTATTCCAAGAATGTATTTTCCCAGCACCAGTAGCAATGGTTGTCATTTCAGAAAGCCGCATGGATTTTGTAAAACAAAAGGATTTTAATTGCCCATTCAAGACCAAGCCACCCCACATTACTTTGCACTGCAACAGGGGCAGGGCATAATACTATATTCCTACCTTTGATTGTGTGGATCACAACCAATTGTGGCAAGTTCTTAAAGAGATGGGAGTACCAGACCATCTTATATGTCTCTTGAGAAACCTATATGCGGGTCAAGAAGCAACAGTGAGAACTGGACACGGAGCCACTGATTGGTTCAAAATTGAGAAAGGAGTTCGGCAAGGCTGTATACTGTCGCCCTGCCTATTTAACTTATATGCAGAGCACATCATGAGAAAGGCGGGGCTAGATGAATCACCAGTTGGAATTAAGATTGCTGGGACAAATATCAACAACCTCAGATATGCAGAGGATACCACTCTCATGCCAGAAAGTGAACTAAAGAGCCTCTTGATGCGGGTGAAGGAGGAGAGTGCAAAAGTTGGCTTGAAACTCAACTTTAAGAAAACTAAGATCATGGCATCTGGTCCTCTCACTTCCTGGCAAATAGAGGGGGAAGAAATGGAGGTAGGGACAGATTTTATTTTCCTGGTCTCCAAGATCACCGCAGACGGGGACTGCAGCCAAGAAATTAAAAGACGCTCGCTCCTGGGGAGGAAAGCTATGGCAAATCTAGACAGCATACTAAAAAGCAGAGACATCACCCTGCCAACAAAAGTGCGTATAGTCAAGGCTATGGTTTTCCCAGTTGCAATGTATGGCTGTGAAAGCTGGACCATAAGGAAGGCTGAGCGCAAAAGGATTGAGGTCTTTGAATCGTGGTGCTGGAGGAGACTCCTGCGAGTCCCTTGGACCGCAAGGCGCTCAAACTGGTCAGTCCTAGAGGAGAGCAACCCTGACTGCTCTTTAGAAGGCCATATCCTGAAGATGAAACTCAAATACTTTGGCCACCTAATGAGAAGGAAGGACTCCCTGGAGAAGAGTGTAATGCTGGGAACAATAGATGGCAAAAAAGAAGGGGCCAGCAGAGGATGAGGTGTCATTCCTAGATGGAGTCACTGAAGCAGTTGGTGTGAGCTTGGGTGGACTCCGGGGGATAGTGGAGGACAGGAAGGCCTGGAGGAGTGTTGTCCATGGGGTCGCGATGGGTCAAACACGAGTTTGCGACCAACAACAACAACTACCAGATACTCTGAGGATTACAGCTTAGTTGTGTGGGATGAGTGACGGATGATTTCATTGTCCCTGCTAATGAAAAAGTCATGGTGTTTCAGTCCTGTGAGGAGCACAGGCTATAAATCATGATACACACCACTTCCAGGTTCAAAGTCAGTATGACTCTAAATTACCAGATATTCTTGGGGGTGTGGGTGCTGGTGGTACAGGAACGTTGCTGCTCCTTTCTCCTGCTTGTGGACTTCTGGTTGAGCATGGTGTGAAATGGTATTGGGCTAGATAGGACTTCAGTCTGATCCAGAAGGGTTCTTACAATATTTGTCTTTCCCCATGGCAGAATTGTGAGGCTTTATCCCATTGTAGTATATCCCTGGATATTACGTTCATGGACATGGGATTTTTCCTCCTCACATGGCACACTTGGTACCCTCGCCCCAGTGCTTGTATGCTAACTCCCATATCAAGCCAAATAATTTGTGTAAAAAGAGGAATTTTGTAAAGCAGGAGAAGCTCAAGGATCACAAAATATTTGTGTGGGATTATTGTAAGCAAGTTGTCCATGAGCAAAGATGCACATTCACAGGGAAAAGAATATTTTAAAGAAAACGAAAAGGGTTTGGATACTGGGAAGAAGAACAGAACTGTGGAAGGGGAAATACTACTGTGTGAGTCACTGGTCCCTCCCAGTCATGGGAAAAACTGTATAATCATTACAATGTAGATGGTGTTACGGGAGATGGTAGGCAGAAAAAGGGAAAGAATGGGGCACGAAGTGTGGACAGTGCCTTTTTCCTCACACAAATGGCAGCAGTAGATAGCTTGGGAAGAAAGAAGCTGATGGCAGCGTAGCTTTGGAGTGTAATCCTGCATTGTCCACATGCACAGGGAAACTTGTGGAACCTGCTTGGTGGGGGTGAGTAGAAACTTCTGTTTCTGCACTGAACTGCTGTTGGTCTGCTCAGCATGTTCTGAATTGGTTGTTGCACTGCTAGGCATACCATCTAATTCAGTACAAATATAGAAATAATAACTTTTTTTACTTAAATGTTGCCATTTTGAAGGAGATTGGACAGGTGACCTGCGTGCCTGACTAGTCTGCTGCCTAGGTTCTAAGTTTGGATGGGCAACTTCAAGTTGTACCTGTGTTGTATTAAAAATGTGATAAAGGTTCATCTGTTTCACCTGCCAGTATCCATCCTTCGCGTCTAAAATAGTGAACATTTTCATGCTTGCTGAACAACTCAGAACCTCTGTGGTTGTGTGGATGGGATGGCACTGCCTCTGAATCATCATCCTTGGATCCTCCCCCCCCCCCCGGCATATTTGCAGCTTCCTATCCCCCCCCCCCCCCACATCCCCTGTTAAAAACAAGACTGCTTACCCCATCTAGGAGATGTCTCCCTCTGGGTAACACTCAGTCCTGCACTTTTTGTCTGATGTGAAGTATCCTTTAAGGCACAAGGTTATGCATGTTTAGACAGAAAAATGACCTACAACTCTCAGCATTTGCCAGCCAGCATGGACCTTTCCACTGTGTGACCACCATGCATAGCACTGGAGCCTTAATTTGTCAAGTATTGCAAAGGGTACCTTCTGACACCCACATATTATAAAAACCACTGCTGGATCACTTTGAATGTGGCAAAAAAAGAACAGTGGCATCAAGACAATCAAAAGCCTTTGAATAAATGGCAAGTGGCTATGCTTTCTTATGGTTCTTTAGTTTTAAACTACATTTGGACAGGACAGCCCATCAAATAGAGCATGCTTTCAATTAGAAGTGTCCTCTGTAAATTAGGACATCTTGCCACCCTATGGCTGACTGTGGAGGGAGGGAAAGAGAAACTCCTAATGTGTGAAGTGCGGGGGGGGGGGTGTAAATGGGTTATCAGGGAAGATGTCATCATGGCTGACTGGAAGTTTGAACAGGAACACCCCATGGCTCCCACAAAAATGAGCAATTTTGTTGCAAGTACCACTTACTACACTCTGAGTTTCTAACTCAGTGTCCTGGCTCTTTACTCTCACAAGGGAGTCCAAGTTCAGTGGTTCTCTCAAAGCTGCATAACTGAAGAGCAGGCCCTTTCTCCTCCTCCTGGGCTCATTTGTTGTGTGGATAGAATAACTATTATTGTAATGCAAAGCAAACTGAACTGTTTTGATGAATGGCCTCTTCGAAGGAGTAGGGCTGAGGCTGATTGGATTTCTTTGCCCCTTGAACGGTACATCTTTTGCTACCTCAAAATGTGTGCCCACTCAGATTGAACCTCGTTTTGTTAAATGTATTGCCTGCTATCAATTTCATTTTAATTTCTTTTGAGCCATGCTGGAAAATCAAGGCATCCATGATAGGGATATGCATGTTGCCTTGGATGGGCCTAGCTGATAACAGTCTCAGTGTAATGTAGCATTTCTTTAACTGTGTTTTTAAAATACATCTTTGGAAATAGCTACAAAGTAACCAAAGATACACACCTATGAAACCCAAATTAGACATGCAGCTATGTCATTCCACAAATTCAAATAGGGTTAGTGGAGGTCCACCAGATATTTTTGCTTGTGCAAACATTAGTTGGATTCTCCTCTTGCACATAGTTCAGAATCTAGTTTTTGCTAGCATAATGCCATTTGCACTAACAAAAAGACAAAATTGGATCCTGCCATATATGTATAGTGAAGGACTCTTAAAAAATGTTATGAATGCCTAATCAGGCATTACATGGCTCTCTGAGAAATTTCTGGTCATGTATGTTCCTGCTTATCTTAGGAAAGACTCAAGGTGCTCAAAGACTTATAAAGGATCATTTAATCACTTCCCATGCATGAGAGTCCTGAAAAAGAGTCCTGTACTTTACAGTTAGATGATGTCCAACGTGTTAACTTCTGACATTCAGTTAAAGTACATGCTAACAGATTTTTCTGTGTTCCTGATTTATCTAAATGTTAGAAGAGACTCCTTAAGTGCAAGAACAAGCAGCTTCTTCATGTTTCTGAAGGTAGTTCTTAAGCAGAGGCTGCCCAACCATCTGTGAGAAATGCTGCAGTTGCAAGATAGTTCCTTGGACAGG